ATGACAGGGGGCGGCGCCCCAACTCCCCAATCGGCCCTGCTCTGAGCCCGACCACGGGCTGCACCTAGGGATTGGGCCTGCCCTCTGCCACCCGGAAGCAGGCCTAAGCCAGCAGGTTGTTATCTCCCGAGGGGTCCCAGACTGCGAGAGGGCACAGGCCGGGCTGAGGGACCCCCCTCGCTGCCCCCCCCCGCAGTGCACAAATTTTTGTGCACCGGGACCTCTAGTACTGTAATAACTATTTATGGTGCCAGATGGGCACTTGAATTAACAGAGGGGACACTTTGCAACCTATTTGAATGTCTATCGCTGTGCTGTACACCTGAAATTAATATTTTTAAAGTGTTGAATGTAGACTATAATCGAAAAATAAAATTAAACATAAATAAAATAAAACAAATGTGATGGCATTTTTATTTATTGATTTCAGAGAGGAAGGGAGAGGGAGAGATAGAAACATCAATAATGAAGAGAATCATTGATCAGCTGTGGAATGGCATTTTTAAATCATGCTTTTGTTTTCTAATTTAAAAATCTGCCTTTGATTCTTGCCTTGTCGTTTATAGTTCTGGACCTGGACTTCATTCCTCTCCGCGTAATCTGTAAAATGGGGCCTTTGTAAAGATTTGATGACACCAAGCATGCAAAGCACAAGTTGTACATTAAGCCCTCTCCACCCCCAAATCCTCAGTCCAAGTTCCTATGATGGGGACGGGGATTGTCCAGGGGGTGAGTACTGACCGCGGAGGTAGAGGACGCCATAGCTGGAGGGGAGGGCAGAGGCGGCTGTGCCAGCCCCAGGGACAGCAAACACGGCCCCCCAGCCCCGTCTTCCCCTCCGAGGCCTCACCATTGATTGGCCTGACGCCGAAACCGAGGTTTGTAGGCTGCCTCGCGCCGTGCGGTCCGAGCGCGGACTACATTTCCCCGCGTGCACTTCGGCACCCCCCCGCCCCGCACCCGCTCCGCGCACCCAGCCCTCCGGCGGAGCCCGCACCCCTGCTTCGTTAGAGGCTGGAGGCAGTAACCGTCATTGACGGAGCTCCTACTCTTCGCTCGCGAAGGGCATCCGTCACCATCAACCCCACCTTGGGCCCCGGCCCCCGCAGGGTCGGGAGGCCCCCGTCCTTTTGCTCTCCTTCAGACGTCCGGCTACCGGGTCCCAGGGAGGATCCGAAGCCAAATTTATCTCCCCCGGAGGGTTCCTTCGGCCCCACGAAACTCCCACAGCGGCCCGCGGCTGGC